CCTTTTAAGTCAAAATAATTTTCCATTCTTATGCAAATAAAGCTCATTTTGCAAGAGGTTTCTCCGAACTTCTAAGTGGCTTTAATGAGTACTCTAGTGCGACATTTTACCAAGCCTTTCCGTCGGCTATGAGTTAATTAATTTTTGCTCAAAACATCGTCAGATTTTTTCATAAAAAGGCCGTTGAAAAATTAATTTGAAGAGTCGTTTTGAGGTATGTCTTCGAAGTTATGATAAATGGTATCCTCCACGTGATCCGGTGCACCTCAGTTCACCGTAACCTAAATTTGATGTGCGGAGGGAACGTCAAGGTTTGCAGGACTAGGGTAAGTAGCTTCTTTTCTTCCTCCTCTTTTCAGGCTCCTCAACGTCTTAAAATTGTAAAATGAGGACAACTTAAAATGTATCGGAAATCTGATCTAAATAACAAGTATGTGTTAAGCAAAGAATGACACAGGCATACTCGGAGATAAAAAAAAAAAAACGCCTGCTTGGGATACTCTATCACTGAGCTGTCGGAGGGTAAGGTACGGCTTGGCAACCTAACTTGGTCCTTGATTACAAATTTCATGCATACCGAAAGGATGGGAATGTCGATATGTGATTGAACTTATGCGAGATGGTGATACAAATAAAGATAATGAATTTTAAGGCTGAGACCAGTTGTTCAAAGTACGGATTGCGCTATCCAACGGATAAATTACTATCTAGCGGATAAGGGTTACCAAAAGGTATTGCGCTATCCAGCGGATATGAGATTTACCCAGCGAATAGCGTCATTCAACCTTCAGACAACTGGGGCCTGGTGTTTTTAAAATAGAGAAGATGTTGTTAAATGAATGGCACAGTCACACTTGGAAAAGAAAACCCTGCTATAAATGTCACGGCTCGTTTCATAGTTTTATTATTTCTTCATATTTTTGCTTCAATGATTTGTTGACCACTGATGCATCGACTTCTGAGCTTTTAATGAATCTAGCAATTCAGTGTTCCTGGTACGATCATTTCTTCTGTAACAGATGCTAAAATTATCAACTTGAAATTCTGCAACATGATTTATCTGTTTGGACATAAACGCACTGGCAAATCTCGATGAAATTTAAGTTTCAAGTTTAATGCCCCTTGGCTGAGACTTATTACGCTATTGGCAGCTGACAAACTTCTTCGAGTTATATGCCTCAAAAACAAACTGCAGCAATTCAAAGCATGGATTCATATCAACTTTATTTAGAGGACGTGTTTTGTGATGAAATTTTGACGCAACAGCAACGTTTTTGGCGGAAATGTTCGGAGCGAATTGTCGCTGTCAACTTATGCTGTGGACTTGTTACAATCATCTGAAATATCGCCGTGTGAGAAGGGCTTATTAACATAATGCGATGAAAGCGACAATATATCTTATGACCACATTAATAAATCAATCTATGATGTGTCAAGCTTATTCCAACGCGCCTCCTATTATCTGGTAACCAGCAATCATAGCACTGTCATCTACTTCTTTGATATCCAGATTGCCAATAGGATCTTATCCTCATCGGACATAATACCTAGATTCTTTTAAAAGAACATAATACTAAATCAAACTTTTCTGTTGTATCTACAGCTAATTCGAGAAGGTTTGTCTGAAAAAAGGACAATAGGTGGTTTGCAACCAATCTCCTGAGACACAGGTAACAACGGTGAAAGGAACAAATGCTGGTGGACGAACAAAAGGAACTAATGAGATGTGTATTGTTTACGTCCACCAACATGGCGGAGATGACGTAACGTGCAAACCACCTGTAGTGCACGCGACCGTCTCCAAAGGTAATCAGTTTGGTATCTGGTAATCAATGAATTTTAATAAGTCAAGTGAATGAATAAATTGATCAAACCAGCGATGCTTCGTCCTTACAGTGAAGTTTTTTTCAGATTTCCTTGAAATCCTGAGGTCACGGAACCGTCACCTGACAACTAACCATGACACCTTTTGGAGTTGTCGCGTGGACTTTTGCGCCTTTTTTTTTCCGACAACCTTTCTTAAAACAGCTGAATACAAATCCCGTTCGCACTCGCTCTTTACTCTCCGTTCCCGGATGTATCCGTCCTTAATGCGATACCGCTGGCCCACTATATTGCAAACCCGACAAAGGCTCTAAAACTGAATCCCGGATCCTACCGCGTAAGTATAACGGAAGCCGTAGAATCAAACCTTACAACCGCTTGGCCGTGAAAGGTCTGGGTATGTGATAGCTTCCCGCCTGTATGACCTGTGTGATCCTGAAGAGTCGAACTGACTACTTTTGAGAAACCCATCTCTTTCTTCATTCCAAAATATAATTATGGCCACCGGTCACTGACGTAGAAAAAAAAAATCCATTGATCATTAACATTCTTCGCGTTGAACGTTTGTAAAAAAGATGATCAATTTTTTTTTTTTTTAAAAAACACCTAGAAAAAATTTAAACTTTCGCCTCCTTTAAAATATGTCATCCTATTGACACGAATTGACAGACACAAAACTTGATTAAATATTCTTCTGAGAGGGTTTCAGTGGGGTTAACCGTTAGCCGTAAAACGGCCAATAAAATTATTAGCATTTAGGTGTAAAAATTGACTCATTGTATCCGTAGATCGTAAAAAAGAGTTATTCGTAAAAAAATTTCTTTTAATCTCAAAGGAGGTGAGCCCTAGCCGTAAAATGGCCAAAATCTAATCGTCAGCCGTAATTATTATCATCAGGAGCTCCTGCCATGACTCCACTGAGACTGTCTTATAGCCTTGGTCGTGCATGACGATATGTAAAATTTGATCCTTGTACCGCAGAATGAATTAGGTTAATCATCTTTGCTACTAATTCACCCATCGCGAGGGAAACAAGATTTTGCCTCGTAAAGCAATTCTGCATCTATTGTTAACAATTTTTGCCCAAAGTTAAATTGTTTAGAAATGCCATTATTGGTTAAAAAATTATGAAATGTGGAAAAATACAAAGAAAAATAAGGTCAATGTTTTTCTCTCAATAGAAACACTTGAATATTCAGCTTTAATTAAACCATCGAGTGGACTTTCCGATATTGGCATCCCCAGGAGTTTTTGTACTCCATATCCTAGTCTTTTCCGAAAATCACTGCTCCCACCTTTGAGACAACATCTTCTTCAATTTTCTACCACTTAAGGAAGACACTTTTTCTTTTAAACTTTGTCGTGGGTTTTAAAAACATTGTGGAGGAGGAAGCACTGTAGAATATCATAGCGTCGTGGGTGGTATTGTTAGATCATATAGCAGAGACGTTAGGTCGCTGTAAGAAGCACGGATAGAAAAGTGATATTTTTCCAATTTTTGGAACAGTTTAGCTAGATTTTTGAGTTGTTCTATTATCAAATGCATGTTGTAGCGATAAGGCGAAATTTACCCGCCGCATTTACATGAAAAAAGTTAATAAAAGTGACCGCTTATCATGTTAACAACAAATTATATTCAACCAGAAATTTATTGACAGCTGAAATATTGATAAGCCGGCATTGTTTCTTTATGACTCTCGGCTCTCTTTTACGTATGAAACCCAAAACATTATCAGACAAAAGGTTTTGAAATGAATGACTACAGATTTTAACCATCCGAGTGGATGAGTCAGTGTTCATATGTGTTATCAAGCAGAACACATTGCAATCGCTCAAGGCCAGGTAAGGAGTGACGCGCATCAATTTTTGAAGGCTTTTAGCTTGTTCGCGAATAGTTAAGAGGGAACAGAGGTTTGTGATTTGATATTAATTTACTCAGCTCTTTCTTCAGTGAATCACTGTGCTTAATTTTTCTCTTCTTAGCGTGTAATGTAGTTAGATGTCGTTGTGTAGAATGTTTTGTTTAGTAATGGGTCGTCATTTTCTTGTGAGAATTCATTTTTTTTTTCTTATCCATTGCTAGTATTTTACGTAGACGTGTTGGACCTTGTAATGTGTTGTTGAGCGTTGGCTTTTTTAACAGATAAACGAAACATAGCGGAGATCTTTTCAAACGAATTTACGATGACCTGAAGCCAACAAAAACTTGTTCCTTCCTAATTCAAACTTGAGGCATTATATATTCATGTGCACCGGCAAAATATTCTTATCAATTCTATAGTAAGACCTATTAACTTTCTACAATATGGAAGCTTTCTCTGCTTTGAAATATCAAGATCGCTATATATATACATGAGCAAGTTCTTTGCTCGAAGACCCGATCAATCATGCGAATCAATGAGAATGGAGTTTGTAAAAAGTACCGCAGCAATTATTCGCTTTGGCAATCGACTGCTACAATACTAAGAGGGCCTCAATGGTGTATGGCTTTTACAGCTCATAGTTAAAAGTTTAGCCATTTTGCGGCTAACGGTTAACCCAAAATGACACAAATGGACATATTGTAGAACAGAAAAAGATTTTTACGGTTAACTTTCGTTACAACTAACGGTTAAAATTTGTCAGTTTTTGCGCTTAACGGCCAAATTTTCTGGCTGTTTTACGGCTGACGGTTAACGACCGGTCAACCCAACTGACACCTTCTACAAACACTGAATTTTTGATAGGTAGCAAAAAGAGAGAAATTTGTAGTAAAACACGATAAGGCTGAAACATGACTCAGACATTTATCAAGCTTCCGGTAAGTTATGTATCAGCAGTTATATTGCTTCAATGGAGATTTTTTTTATTTAATTTCTGCGTTTGATTTAAGGGAATGAAGACAAATTTGAGCTGAGCAAAACGCGGAGAACAGATAAGGTGTCTCAATTGGACGATGGCACTTACGGCTAACAGGTAGATGTTTTGGCGGTTTTATGGCTCACGATGAATCCCCCTGGGATCCTCAAGATAAGGATGTTCAGCTCCTCTGAGTTTATTTAATAAGAAAACTCACTTCCACTTTAACAGCTTTGATGAACTTGCGGAATAATCGAGAGGTAATTACCTTTCCAAACTTGCGATTATACAACAAACTTTAAGAACTCATTGCACGCGCTCTGTTTGTTCTGCCTTTTTTTCACACTTTCTTTCACAGGGACACAAGCTTTCCCCACAATTAGAGTGCAATTAAAACATCTTAAAGTACCATGAAAAATCAGACCATGTGATACATCAATTTTTCATGAAAAACAAAACCAAGGGAAGGGAGATTACTCCACCCGTGAAACAAAAAGATTTTCAGCGACAATTAAGAGGGTCACCGAGATACTTTGAACACGAATAGTTCATTTAATATTCGGTTAAATGTGTCTTATTTCCGGTTTCTAGAATACAACTTTGAACGAAGAGTGAACTTACGTAAATGCGCGCGGGCGTAGATTACATCAAATCTTGGAATCAAGTTTCAATTACTTTTTTCATATCCCTTTCAAATCTTTTTTTATGACCCCTTTCAAATCTTTTTTTTTTTCTTTCTTTCTTTTTTTAGATCAAATCATTGCATGTATAGGTTTTGATCTCTGGAAATCACGCCTTAAATATGGTTGTTTTCGTTTTTCTTGTTATTGTTTTCAGAAAAAAGATCAGTTTTCAAAAATCTACAATGTTTTTTCCGAGGTATCAGAGGAGTGGGACTTCCTGATTAAAATTGCAAACCAACAAACCTTGTGTTGTCCGTGCATTCTGGTTTAATTCATTTGAAAATTGATTCTTGTCAGTCGCCCAAAATCAGACATAGGTAACGCCATGTCTGGTAATAAGAGGCTTGCATAAGATTATGAATAAAATTATAAACATCTTGAATAAAGAGTGGAAGAAGGAAAAAATTTCTCAGGGTCCTTTAAACGATAGTCTTCCTAAATTCTCGCGTATTGTACTTATCACAGACCACTTATCAATTCTAACCTGGAAGGTAATATCACAAAAAGCTGAAATGAATGATTGGAAGAAAAAAATTACTCAAGCTGTATTCGAAAATTAGATTGTACCGTTGTTTAATTTTAGTACTCGTGCGCTTAATTGTATTTTGACTAAACCGTATGTTTGTCCATTTCCTCCCCATTTCGTAAGACATCGATAATGGATTCACTCCATTTCATTCTTATTAATTTATATTCTTTGTAATATCTGACACTCTGACAACTAGCTAGTGAGTGTTTCTCACTATTAGCAAAGTTTATTTACACAATTAACCAGTATGTATGTATGTCTGTATGTATGTATGTGTATGTATGTATGTATGTATGTATGTATGTATCATATGTATGTATGTATGTATGTATGTATGTATGTATGTATGTATGTATGCATGTATGTATGTACATAGTGTATGTAGTATGTATGAAGGAGCAGTTTGTGGGTATCAGAGATATGTTACGTAGTACTCGATGTGGTTCATCCTCAAATTCGCTTTGGGTTTTATTTTCTTTCCATTACGTTCAAATCACCTTTGCCAAATCAATTTTATGCCGTTATTTTATAGTGGAACATGGAACAGCTGGGCAATCACTTATGACAAGTAAATAACTTCAAGAACAAAAGATCAGGAAAGTTTTGGAAAATAACATTATGTACAGCGTGGCTGCATCTGATTGGATAAAACCGGGGGAATAAGATAACCAACACATGCAGATATTCGGAGTAGAACTCTCGACTCACCATGTGGCTATTGTTTGGGTTTCTCTTCGTTTCATGTAAGTAAATATTTTTTTTAAAATCATCTTACGTCTTAGTTTGATAATTGCTAACTTACAAGGAAACGCTGTATTTGATTTATAGTTTCTAAAAAGCTTGGACGGAGAAGAAACATCTGCTTAGAAAATGAAAAATATAAAGCAATAGCCCCATATATATAGAACTGAAATGTTTGGGAGTTCATTACGAATTCAAGTTTAAGCGATTAATAGAAAAACTGAAAGATCTCTATTTCATCTCCACGTTATCTCAAAAGGGAGATTCAACGGTGTAGATTTGCTCATTTGAATGATGAATCTGTGATCAGTTGTAGATTTAGTCTTTTTCATCATCGTCGTAACAAAAATGGCCAAATGAGGTTATAAATCTTCTTTTTTAGAGCCACTGATGTAGCCTAGGATGAAATTCTGTTCTAAAGCATCAAATGTTTTTCCAACCTAGTCAGGGAAGCTCAGAAAACTTTGTTAAATAATTAATGTATGTGACGAAAACAAAGAAATTTTCGGAGAAAAGCAAAATCATCCCGGAATTGTACTTTTGTTTTTAAACGATCGATGCAATCGCAGAAATACGACGGCAGCAAATGGATGACAAACAAAACAAAATAACTAATGCATAAAATCTTAAGAAATATATCCATACAACCCATCTGTTTCAGTGACTATTGCATAGTAACTTCCTGAAGAAACCCGGCTAAAATAGACCTTTTTTTTTCTTATTTATATGCTAAAATATTCAACATTTATCATTTATTTAATATACTTTTCTCGTGCGCTCAGAAGAAAAATGAATTGACCCTTATCTCTGCGAATTTCACATTTTAATTAAAAAATAATTTTTACAAACAAAGTCTTTTGTCTCTGTTTGTTTATTTGTTCGTTTGTTTGTCCAAAGCTCCGGTTTTGCTTCGTTACCGCACTTATCATAGTTAAAGTAGTTGGCGATGCACTTATGGTCCAACATTATTTCATCCGCATTATTTCATTATTTCATCCGAATTATTTCATCCGCTTCTTAGTCATCTGAATCCCGACTCTAACTTTATCACTCGTCTGCCCAATAGTGGCTACATGGTTGTGGAAGATCTGAACAATCGAGTAGCTTCCTTTGGCGACAAAACAAACTTTTCTATTTTACATTTAAACACTCGAAGCTTAATGAGAAATTTCGATCAACTTAATTTATTGCTGAGAAACCTTGATACGCCGNCTTTACTCTCCAAACTAGGAATTTTAGATATTTTCCAAGTCAATACGTTTGAAATCGCTAAATTTATGTTTTATTTCAAAAATAACTTATTGCCCCCATTGCTTCTCGATCTTTTTGTAAGGAATAGCCAAATTTACAACTATGGTACCAGAACAGCCCGTAATTATCGAACGCATTTGTGCCGTACAAATGTCAAGCAATTTACAATTCTCTACCAAGGTCCTAAAATTTGGAACTCTCTCCCTATTTCAGTCACTCGTTCGCCAAACTTTCTCAGCTTTAAAACGAAATTGCAAGAGTTTTTGCTTAAATAATCACTGAATTGGCCAAGCCGCACATTCGCAGCACTTTTTCTTTACTTAATTTATTATTTTAAGTGAGGTGCCTCTCCCATAAGCCTGGTGGCTTCTTGGGTCTCCTCGCCTTCTAACTGTTACCGCTATAATTAACTATTTTTTAATTGTTAAAATAAGGAAAATAAAGATGCTGATGATTAACATGAAATATGAAAAAAAATTTGTACCCATCTTGAATCCAAAGTATTGACCTTTTATAATGTTTTGGCTTTTGTACCAGCGCAGGATGGTTTTTTTTTCTCTTCTAACACTTTTCAAATATTACATCCCCGAATTCTTATTTTTATCGAATTATCGTTGTTTTGACGCCAAGTTTGCTGCTTTTATTCTTAGAATAGGCAGATATCAACAAAAATCACACATCACATCATGATGTTAAAATCAGTGGGTATTTATTCTTTATCAAATGCAAGTTCCGCTCTCAAAGAAAAATTCGAAAAATTTATCCTTGCATTAATTTCAGATGCAGCAGGCTACATAGAGGCAAATGAGTACAGCATACATAACGCAAGCACCCTGTGGTCAGGGGCTGTCGAGAACTGCCAGCGGAATGGTTCAGTATTGGCTGTACTTGATTCCCAGCACAAAATTGATCAACTGACAAGCAGTTTTCTTTCTCAAGGAAACAATAGAAAAAATAAGTATTGGATTGGACTTAGGTACAACGGATCAACGGAACATTACGTTTGGAGTTCAGGAGTTCTTGCTGACAAAGTTTCAGTAACGAACTCTATCTGCGGAAAACATCAGACACCACTTAATCAGAAAGACTGGTGTTACTTGGTAAAGGAGAGTCCCTCAGTTTGCTTTGAAAAGCGGGAATGCAACAAGAGCCATCGGTATGGTTACATTTGCCAACCAGTTACTGACAGAGGTAATTATTTATTGATTATAGCAATTGCGTTTTAGCCTAGAATACAAACCTGACCTGAAACAAACTATCATATAGTGGCCACCATTCTAAGCAAGTAGTCGCAAAACATTGCGATCATAAACAAAGGAAAGAAAAATGAACACCAATTTCTCCAATTATTCCTTTAATAGTTACAAAATAATTTTTCATACCCTAATAAAAAATGATAAAAAGAATCTCCAGATTTATTTGTAAGGTATTTGTTAAATCTGAATTTTAAATTTTTGTTTTTACGTTTTTGATCTATTAGTATCGCCTACCACTTCAAGTAGTCCAGCTCCAACCGTCCAAAGTGTAGATCTCAAGGTGGATCAAAATCCGGTGAGTGTCATATCATATGCAAGTTTAATTAAAGTGTCGCCTTTAAAAATCATAGCTTAGTTCAAGTGATCATCTCTTGCTTATAATCTCTTATAAACGTGCAATGAAGATTATTTACCCCAAGCTTTCGTATGCCAAGGCTCTGGAACTATCTGGACTTTTAACGCTGTGTGATAGAAGAGAGGCAATCGCGGCAAAGTTGTACAAAGAAATATGTGAAAATCAATCTCACAGTCTTCATAAACTACTCCCAAGCAAATACCAACCTGGCTACTATCTGAGAGAACAAAGAACATTTATTCGTCCGAGGTGTAAAACTGAAAGGTGCAAGAATAGTTTTCTTTTAAGTTACGTTTATTGTAGGTGATAATTAGATATTGATTTGTTTCTTATTTTACGTAGGAATTCGACGCATGTTTGTGAATTTGTCATTTTGTAACATTTTTTAATTAGTAAATTAACTAATTAGTTTTAATTTAGTAAGTTAGAAATTTTGCATTTGTAAACCTTATCGCAATTCAGCTCTTGGCTGCAAGTTTTTTAAGGTGAATAAACTATCTATCTATCTATCTATCTATCTATTTTTCTATCTATCTACCCATCTATCTCTCTCTGAAGATATAGTCAAGCGATTTTTAAATTCCTTCGCCTTAGTTTGACCCTGCCTTAACACTAACCAGTTTTTATTTCAACAGCTGTCGAAATTTTCTTCTGTCATGAGTTCCCTTAATCCAAAAGATCCATTTTCTTTAAAGGTAAGCCCTCACAAGCTCCCATGCGCTTGTAGGATCTAACTATTTTTTTAGCAGAGCCCCATACCCATGGAATATGGTCAACCTCTTTTCGTTTGGTTGTCACGTGACTGACCGAGCGTACGTGCGTGCCTTCAGATTGCACGGGTAGGGTAGGGGAGACTATCAAAACGAAGGGAAGGGTGTTTCAGGCGAGTCTTGGCAAGTGCACATCTTTTATGTTATCATTAATATAACGAACTTGGGAGCTCCGCTTTTAGGCTTGGCTAAATCTAGATATTATTCTGTTGAATGTGGTGGGCTTTGCTACTCTACTCTCTTTGCATAGTCGCGCTCTTGACCAATCAGATGCAAAACCTAAACCAATCACGACTTGATCACGTGCGTTTTCCCGCGCTTTGGGAAGTTGACGTGTTTCATTTGAGCTTTTATTAGCTCTGGGCTTTGTTATACTTTCCTTTTCTCTGATTGGTCCCTGTAATGACCTGATTCCTTGTTTTACGTCCCTCAACTAAAATACGCTATAAGGCAATTAATGAATAGATGGCAAGCAGTATCAGCGGTGAAAAGAGGCCCATTATTGTATTTCACGAGGCGACGTGCTTGGAAGTGTCTCGTTTTCAATTACCCTTCCTTTCTCTGATAGATTAAGGTAATATAATAGTCCCCCGGCCTGGAGCTGCTCATTAGCTACAGCTTTAGCTCAATATGTGTATCAAATATATATATCTTATTAGACGTTTTGTTGTGTAGTATCGCTGAGTTTTTTGATGAGTTGCATAATTGTGCGGTATTTTGACGAGCCCGTAGGGCTCGTCAAAATACAAGTAACGAGTAAAAATACTCAGCGATACTACAAAACAAAACGTCTAATAAGTTATTTATTATCCAACACGCCAAATTGTTATTTCAGTACGGGCGAATTTTGCGGATATTTATTTACTGGGAGTGCGTGACAGAAGTATGCGAGGCGGAACGGAATTGGCGCGTTGTCGTTTCTATTTTCTTCAATAAATGAAGAAAATTTCCTAGTTGTCTAACTGCTTTTCTTCGTTCGATACATGTAAGAAACTTGGATCTATATTTGCCAGCCATTCTGACTCTTCGTCGTCGGAAATATGATTCAAATTGTCCGCCATTTTTTTTTTCGTAACTTTAATCCAATTCTTGCGCGATGCGGGAAAACCTGTCTAACCGGTTCTCTGGAGTACAAATACCGCTTGATATTTGTACTTGTCTATGGCGTTTTTTGTACTCTACGAAGTTTAGTTGGATAATAAATACTTGTCACCCTAGGTCCTAAAGCTTCCCATGACAATTGGGCTTCAAAATTCATCGAGCGAGAGATTTGTTTAGGTCAATTAATTCATCCTTAGAGCAGATCATCACATATTATGAGCATGTCACACATGACGCAACTTATGCTATTTCTTCTAAAAAATCTCATTGACAGCTTGCAACAAATGCATTCAAAGGATTTGCCGAGTCTTTAAAGTCGGAGCACGATAAAAGAGAGAAAAAAATAAATTTGATTTATTCCACTCAAATTGTTGAAGAGTTTGCCTTCAAATACGGGTCCTTCAACTTGAATGCAACCAAGAGTGAAGAGAGGACCGAAAACGAACACATAGGTAAACCACTTATTCTTTTTCAGGTTACTAATTAACAAATGGTAAACACACCAGCGTACACTATTGAGTTATGGATGCACGCGGGAGGTTGCTAAGCACAAAAGGAGCGTAAGAGTCGCGCGAGGCAATCGCCGAGAGCGACTCTAGTATCTTCAGTAGTGTAAGCTGTGGTGCTTACCATTTGTTTTATAACGTAACATTGTAGCATTGTAGCAAGAGAGTTCTCTTTTATTTAACAAGACTTACGTGACCAAAAGAAAAAACGCGCGAAAACTAATCTTTGCATTTGCTCACGTCAGAAGCGCACTCCCATAGGCAAATGGTGGAAACTGAACGGACCAATTAGAAAGTCTGCTTTACTTTTTTTACTTTTAATTTTTTTTTTTATTTCCAAATTGTAGTCTTACAGGTATCCTTGGTGCCAAGGGGTTATCACCGAAGTTTCACATTTACTGGAGCAGTGGACTTGGACGAAGTAGCGAGAATCACGCTTCCTTCTTATTTATTTCAAACCAATGGTAAATATGTAAATAAGAAATATCCTGTTCGAGACACAATTATAGAAATTGTATGTAAATTCATATGTGTATTTTCATGCATGTGCAGTGCTGTAGCTGCGGTGATAAACAAAACACATTGGATTATATTTAAAGTACGCAAATTTCTCTTGGATTATATTTCAAGTACGCAAATTTCTCTTGGATTATATTTAAAGTACGCAAATTTCTCTTGGATTATATTTAAAGTACGCAAATTTCTCTTGGATTATATTTAAAGTACGCAAATTTCTCCATAGGGCGTTCTTCAACCTCTCTTGGTAGTATTATTTTAAGAAATTATTATTTTAGTGGACGCATCTAGTTTCATGGTCAAATTGAAAAAAATCCAGGAGATTTCAAATTACATCATTATGCAATTGTGTCTGTAATCATTTCGGCTACATCCCTAGCAATATATATTTAGATCTTTCTTTTGCTTTGAAATTATATCCTTTCTATATTATAACATTTTGTTTTTTTACATTTTCAGATACTATTGCGGTTAATACTTTGTACCGAGATCTCCATGAATTTCTCGACAACCTAGGCTCCAGGTAACTCCCTTAAACGGATGAGGTGGACATCCTGATTTGTAATTATCGAAAGAAAAAGTGATGACGTTTCCTTTTGGGACTTACGGCTGTTCGCTTGTTTCGCAGGGAAGATAAAATTCATTCCATGATCCTAGGAAGTGACGTTGGACCGTCTAAACAGAAAATTTTCAGGGAGAACGTCACAATTGTTTTCCGCACGTTGGAGGAAAAGGTGAATGAAATCAACTCACTACTGATTAATATAAGACCGTTTTCCTCTTTGAAAAAATCATCATAATTGATGCGCCATTTTCGTTTTAAGGGAAAATACAAGAAATCAAGGCTAGATTGTGTATTCTGGCAGTGGAATTACTCCCTTCCGTAAGTAGGCTTTTTTTCCGATTTTCTCAGCTATCCCAGTGATCTCAAATTGCTAATTTTAAGACCACTCATTCATATTTAAACAGTTATAAAACTAGTTTTTTAATCACACAAATGCTACTTCTTCGTAATTTTCTAGTGAAGCTTCGTTTGGACAAACAGGGTCTCCTTGACAATTTTTCTTCTCATATTGACAGGTACCCTTGTTGATAATTTCACAACACAGATTATGAAGAATGTGAAGTAATCTAATCTAATGTGCTGAGCTTGACAAGAATTGTTTTCGAGAAAATTCGAAATGGGATAGAAGAGAGATTATGCGCAACACTGAAGTTTCAGCTTTCCTTTTGTTTGCTAAGGAAAACTTTCGATTGCAAATGGGAATATATTGATAGAAAATGCGCTTGGTGTTATGACTTGGGTGATGTGTTACTTACTTGACTGCAATATCGGTTTATTTCAGAGCAAATGGAAGTTGGTCAAACGATGGTTGTTCACTGGTGGAATCAAATGCAACGCACGTGGTTTGCACGTGTAACCATTTAACAAATTTCGCTATTTTAATGAACATCGAAAAACACGAGGTATAATCATACATGTTTATCGTGCTTGAGCAGCAGGTTTAAGGGGCCAGAAAAAATTATATTTCAACTTTTTTCCCTACAGTTTTCAGAGGGACATAAAGAAGCTCTTTCCTATATGACATACATAGGAGTTGGTATTTCATTGCTTGGCGAGACAGTTACTTTTATAGCCTACTTGCTAGTACTGTAAGTAACCATGTATAAATAGCCCATTTTTAAGTGGTCAGCCTCGCTCTCGTTCAAAGGCCTGGCAACCAAGCTGAGCTTGTGTATAGATGGCTTTGGACGAATTAGGCGCACATCAGTTATCAGTCAAACTGCGCATCAAGAGTATCATGGTATTTTCTAAGTGGCTGCCTCAAATATTAAACTAAGTGGACTTTAAAAATAAAAATTTTTTGCTGACTGTGTGAGTCTCCTTAAGTCTACTGCAAGGTTCATTCTTTATATCATCTGATTACTTTTTCCTTCTGTTTCTGTTTTTTGTTTTTGTTTTGTTTTGCTGTTTCACTGTAGATGTTCCAGCCATGAGCAGCAAAGTCACGTGCATATAAACCTGGTTGCCACTTTAGCTGTTGCACAGAGTATATTTTTGGCGGGAATTAACGCTACTCAGAATCAGGTGACATAACTTTTAAAGTTTCAACAGTACTTGAAAAGCTTTGCGCATGACAAAAAGGCCTTACTTACGATTATAAAGTCCTTTAAAGAATGGGGAGTAAAACGTGTTCGGTAAATCCGTATAGGAATGTATCAGCATCTGGATCTTGTCCCTCTAACAGCTTAGTTCACTTAATCTATTTTTTCGATGTACAAGAATTTTTAGTTCTTATAGTTCTTGCATTTCTGTCAGCGGGGCTTTGAAGTGATGGCACAGTTTATGCTGTCGAGAAAATCGACAAATATTGTGGATAGGATCTTGAATTGATGAGGATAATAATAAGCTGTAAACATGGGAGAATTTTGACTCACCCTGTTTGAAGGTGCGAAAAGTTTCTCAAGATTTACAAAAGCTATCTTATTTTTTTTTTAGGTGTTGTGTATAACTGTTGCTGCCATGATTCATTACTTCTATTTGTCTTCCTTCTGTTGGATGCTAATAGAAGGTGTTATGCTGTATCTACTGATAATAGAGGTCTACAATACTGAGCTCAAATTGCGTCTCTGTTATCTGTTTTCACTGGGTGAGTATCCGTGAAAGCTGAGTTGCTGACCACTTCCCACACTTAAAATAATTAAGGAAAACAACTCATTCCCTGCATTAACACATCAAACGAACGGAAACGAAAAAACCTAACTTGGAGGTTTAGAGGAGTCTAGAGGAGTCTAGAGGAGTCTAGAGGAGTTTAGAGGAGTTTAGAGGAGTTTAGAGGAGTTTAGAGGAGTTTAGAGGAGTTTAGAGTAGTTTAGAGGAGTTTAGAGGAGTTTAGAGGAGTTTAGAGGCGGATGCATCGATGTTCATCATCAGTCAAAGCGATAGTGTCTCGACAAAACTTACCAATCACTTAACGCGATCTGACGAATGGTTATCGTTCGAAACGTAACCCTTCAAAACTCTTTACTGTGGCTAATTTACATCGTCAACTTATAAGTGATAAAATTGAATTACCTTGTCACTCGCAGGCTGCCCAGGTCTTATAGTTGGAGGAACCCTGATATTTGCTTCCTTGAACGAGCCAGGTATAAATCAGTACATAACCAAAAAATGGTAAGAAGCATTCACGTATTTCTCCCAAAACATTGTATATGTTGTAGTTCAATTTTATCCTTGGTTCAAATTTTATTTTCCTTTGTTTCAAACTCATTATCCTACATTAATATGACCGAGAAGAAAGGAAAATAAAATTTGAACCAAGTATAAAATTGAACTACAACATATATATCAAAATAAAGCACTTCGTTAGGGCAAGATTCATATTCCTAGATTTTGGTTGGTTTAATCGTGAAGACGGCTCGAGAATGAAATAAGTAAAGTAAAAAAAAAACAAAAACAAACAATAAACGATCGAGCGAACGAATGAATTACTGATCAAAAAAAGGGAATGAACGTTATGGTCAGCAGCTACTCGCACGATCATGCGTAAGAGATACGTTCTTGTATTCCGCAATGTTGACTGCACTAACCGCGAATAAAGGAAGTTCTTTTACTACTGTTGGCTCCTAGACTAACGGATGAACGAGAGATCGAACGAACAATAGAGAGATTGGAACAAGAATAGAATTTCACGAAAATTAAAATCAAAATATATATGTATTGTTATGATCATACTTATTACGTAAAGGGAAGTAGTTTAGGTAAAACTTGCTCTTGACATATGGGCGAACACATGAGCTTCAATTCATTTCTTTCCTTCGTTTCAGGTGCTGGCTTTCAACAGAAAATTATTATATATGGTCGTTTGCAGGACCAGTGGTAGTTATAAGTTTTGTAAGTATACATGATGTAACATAATCAACAGCGCTACCAAAGAGACTCGCAAACCTATATCGAAAAGCGTTCAGAGTCCAAGAAAACCCCGAGACAGAACCTGGCCTTTGCGGGTGGCGCACGTGTCTCCGAAGTCAGGCGATTGATGACACCACGTGTCTCCGAAGTCAGGCGATTGATAACACCACGTGTCTCCGAAGTCAGGCGATTGATAACACCACGTGTCTCCGAAGTCAGGCGATTGATGACACCACCGTATTGAAGCAATAAGTGAAATAAAACCTTTTTCTAGGGAGCTTCGTAAGAGTTTAATTTATTTTGTCTTTATGCAGGTGAACATAGTTGTATTTTGCATAGTTGTGAAAGAAATGGTAAACATGACAAGCATACAGTCAAATAAATTTAGCAGAGTCAAGTGAGTATCACTATTGAAAGAATCATTTTCCTTTAACCGTGATTTGTTATTATAACATAACCAAAGTAAAGCGCGCGCTCTGATTGGTCAATTTAGCGTCCCCCATTTGCCCATGGGTGTACGCTGCTGACGTGAGCAAATGCAAAGACTATTTTTACGCGCGCGCTTGTCTTTTCTGGTCGCGTAAGATTTGTTAAATAAAAGGGAACTCTTTAGCTACAATGTATCAATGTTATGTTATAAAACAAATGGTAAACACCACAGCGTACACTATTGAGTTATGGATGCACTTGGGAGGTTTGCTAAGCACTCAAGAAGCTAGAGTCGCTCTCGGCTATCGCCTCGAGCGACTCTTACGCTTCTTTCGTGCTTAGCAACCTCCCGCGTGCATCCATAACTCAATAGTGTACGCTGTGGTGTTTACCATTTGTTTTATAACATAACATTGATACATTGTAGCTAAAGAGTTCCCTTTTATTTAACAAATCTTACGCGACCAGAAAANACATATATTTATTCTATCTCATTTATCACTTTCACGGGTTCATTACGAATCAACTTAACGGCCTGCTCTCAGTTGGCTTGTTAGCTCAATTGGTTAGAGCGCTGCACTAGTATCGCAGAGGTCAGTGGTTCGAGTCCCGTACAGGCCTGATTTTTTTCAGGTCTGAATTTCGCTATTGCTCAAATAGCGCTATCTACTGCGAGGATCGTCCATCATACGTATCAAATACCGCAGTTCAAAATATATGATTTTCATATATTTATTCTATCTCATTTATCACTTTCACGGGTTCATTACGAATCAACTTAACGGCCTGCTCTCAGTTGGCTTGTTAGCTCAATTGGTTAGAGCGCTGCACTAGTATCGCAGAGGTCAGTGGTTCGAGTCCCGTACAGGCCTGATTTTTTTCAGGTCTGAATTTCGCTATTGCTCAAATAGCGCTATCTACTGCGAGGATCGTCCATCATACGTATCAAATACCGCAGTTCAAAATATATGATTTTCATATATTTATTCTATCTCATTTATCACTTTCACGGGTTCATTACGAATCAACTTAACGGCCTGCTCTCAGTTGGCTTGTTAGCTCAATTGGTTAGAGCGCTGCACTAGTATCGCAGAGGTCAGTGGTTCGAGTCCCGTACAGGCCTGATTTTTTTCAGGTCTGAATTTCGCTATTGCTCAAATAGCGCTATCTACTGCGAGGATCGTCCATCATACGTATCAAATACCGCAGTTCAAAATATATGATTTTCATATATTTATTCTATCTCATTTATCACTTTCACGGGTTCATTACGAATCAACTTAACGGCCTGCTCTCAGTTGGCTTGTTAGCTCAATTGGTTAGAGCGCTGCACTAGTATCGCAGAGGTCAGTGGTTCGAGTCCCGTACAGGCCTGATTTTTTTCAGGTCTGAATTTCGCTATTGCTCAAATAGCGCTATCTACTGCGAGGATCGTCCATCATACGTATCAAATACCGCAGTTCAAAATATATGATTTTCATATATTTATTCTATCTCATTTATCACTTTCACGGGTTCATTACGAATCAACTTAACGGCCTGCTCTCAGTTGGCTTGTTAGCTCAATTGGTTAGAGCGCTGCACTAGTATCGCAGAGGTCAGTGGTTCGAGTCCCGTACAGGCCTGATTTTTTTCAGGTCTGAATTTCGCTATTGCTCAAATAGCGCTATCTACTGCGAGGATCGTCCATCATACGTATCAAATACCGCAGTTCAAAATATATGATTTTCATATATTTATTCTATCTCATTTATCACTTTCACGGGTTCATTACGAATCAACTTAACGGCCTGCTCTCAGTTGGCTTGTTAGCTCAATTGGTTAGAGCGCTGCACTAGTATCGCAGAGGTCAGTGGTTCGAGTCCCGTACAGGCCTGATTTTTTTCAGGTCTGAATTTCGCTATTGCTCAAATAGCGCTATCTACTGCGAGGATCGTCCATCATACGTATCAAATACCGCAGTTCAAAATATATGATTTTCATATATTTATTCTATCTCATTTATCACTTTCACGGGTTCATTACGAATCAACTTAACGGCCTGCTCTCAGTTGGCTTGTTAGCTCAATTGGTTAGAGCGCTGCACTAGTATCGCAGAGGTCAGTGGTTCGAGTCCCGTACAGGCCTGATTTTTTTCAGGTCTGAATTTCGCTATTGCTCAAATAGCGCTATCTACTGCGAGGATCGTCCATCATACGTATCAAATACCGCAGTTCAAAATATATGATTTTCATATATTTATTCTATCTCATTTATCACTTTCACGGGTTCATTACGAATCAACTTAACGGCCTGCTCTCAGTTGGCTTGTTAGCTCAATTGGTTAGAGCGCTGCACTAGTATCGCAGAGGTCAGTGGTTCGAGTCCCGTACAGGCCTGATTTTTTTCAGGTCTGAATTTCGCTATTGCTCAAATAGCGCTATCTACTGCGAGGATCGTCCATCATACGTATCAAATACCGCAGTTCAAAATATATGATTTTCATATATTTATTCTATCTCATTTATCACTTTCACGGGTTCATTACGAATCAACTTAACGGCCTGCTCTCAGTTGGCTTGTTAGCTCAATTGGTTAGAGCGCTGCACTAGTATCGCAGAGGTCAGTGGTTCGAGTCCCGTACAGGCCTGATTTTTTTCAGGTCTGAATTTCGCTATTGCTCAAATAGCGCTATCTACTGCGAGGATCGTCCATCATACGTATCAAATACCGCAGTTCAAAATATATGATTTTCATATATTTATTCTATCTCATTTATCACTTTCACGGGTTCATTACGAATCAACTTAACGGCCTGCTCTCAGTTGGCTTGTTAGCTCAATTGGTTAGAGCGCTGCACTAGTATCGCAGAGGTCAGTGGTTCGAGTCCCGTACAGGCCTGATTTTTTTCAGGTCTGAATTTCGCTATTGCTCAAATAGCGCTATCTACTGCGAGGATCGTCCATCATACGTATCAAATACCGCAGTTCAAAATATATGATTTTCATATATTTATTCTATCTACTATCTACTGCGAGGATCGTCCATCATACGTATCAAATACCGCAGTTCAAAATATATGATTTTCATATATTTATTCTATCTCATTTATCACTTTCACGGGTTCATTACGAATCAACTTAACGGCCTGCTCTCAGTTGGCTTGTTAGCTCAATTGGTTAGAGCGCTGCACTAGTATCGCAGAGGTCAGTGGTTCGAGTCCCGTACAGGCCTGATTTTTTTCAGGTCTGAATTTCGCTATTGCTCAAATAGCGCTATCTACTGCGAGGATCGTCCATCATACGTATCAAATACCGCAGTTCAAAATATATGATTTTCATATATTTATTCTATCTCATTTATCACTTTCACGGGTTCATTACGAATCAACTTAACGGCCTGCTCTCAGTTGGCTTGTTAGCTCAATTGGTTAGAGCGCTGCACTAGTATCGCAGAGGTCAGTGGTTCGAGTCCCGTACAGGCCTGATTTTTTTCAGGTCTGAATTTCGCTATTGCTCAAATAGCGCTATCTACTGCGAGGATCGTCCATCATACGTATCAAATACCGCAGTTCAAAATATATGATTTTCATATATTTATTCTATCTCATTTATCACTTTCACGGGTTCATTACGAATCAACTTAACGGCCTGCTCTCAGTTGGCTTGTTAGCTCAATTGGTTAGAGCGCTGCACTAGTATCGCAGAGGTCAGTGGTTCGAGTCCCGTACAGGCCTGATTTTTTTCAGGTCTGAATTTCGCTATTGCTCAAATAGCGCTATCTACTGCGAGGATCGTCCATCATACGTATCAAATACCGCAGTTCAAAATATATGATTTTCATATATTTATTCTATCTCATTTATCACTTTCACGGGTTCATTACGAATCAACTTAACGGCCTGCTCTCAGTTGGCTTGTTAGCTCAATTGGTTAGAGCGCTGCACTAGTATCGCAGAGGTCAGTGGTTCGAGTCCCGTACAGGCCTGATTTTTTTCAGGTCTGAATTTCGCTATTGCTCAAATAGCGCTATCTACTGCGAGGATCGTCCATCATACGTATCAAATACCGCAGTTCAAAATATATGATTTTCATATATTTATTCTATCTCATTTATCACTTTCACGGGTTCATTACGAATCAACTTAACGGCCTGCTCTCAGTTGGCTTGTTAGCTCAATTGGTTAGAGCGCTGCACTAGTATCGCAGAGGTCAGTGGTTCGAGTCCCGTACAGGCCTGATTTTTTTCAGGTCTGAATTTCGCTATTGCTTAAATAGCGCTATCTACTGCGAGGATCGTGCATCATACGTAGAACCATTCCTTGTCATAAAAACTGCTTCATGAGAAAACTAAATCCCTTACTTCATTTCATTTCTTTCTCTGACTGGCTAATTGTCCAATCAATAAATTTGACGTTTTCTCTTTGTTTTACTCCAGGACAACCGTAAAGGCCTGCATTGTCTTATTCCCCCTCTTGGGGGTCACGTGGCTTTTTGGGTTATTGAGTATGATAAATTCCAGTGTTGCCTCTCAATACATCTTCACTTTACTTAATTCCCTTCAGGTAAGTATATATGTAAAATACCGTGTACTCCATTCAGCATAACTTATTTTTGTGCGTATATTTCGGACTAGTTTTACTGCAACATTTACTGTGTAATGTAAAGAAGTGAAGATATTGTGGCACTGCAGATTAAAATAGACTATTCGATTAGCTGCGAAGGATTTTGAAAAATTTTCTGTGTTCTTAGAAAAGGAGTGGAAAATTGTTTGAACAATGATAGATCCATCTGAAACCTAAATCAAAACTAGCAAGGACTTTAGGGAAAACAAAATCGACAAAGTATGACTCGAGTAAGAAATGATTATAAAATCACTATCGTAATTGTGATTTCTTTCATCAAAACTCTCTTCACGAGTTATTTGCATAATTATGCGAGTAATGCATACTGGAGAACATTAGAGATGAACGATATCCTCATGTTGCTAGTTCTTGATAGAGATTTGATACAACAAATAAAATCGTCTTTATTTTTTGGGGGGTGACGTAAAGCAATCCAGTCTGGCAAGAGAGTAAATAAGTCTCTTGAGGCTGGAACGATGATCTTTAATTTGTAGTATTAACAGTGCTTGACTATTTATTTCCATGAGCAAGCATAAAGAGAGGAAGCAGTTGGACTTTCTAAACATGTTCATTCATTTACTTTTCTCCTAGGGATTGATGATTTTCATTTTTCATTGTGCGAGAAATTCGGAGGTAAGATTTTTCCTTTGCAGTAAATGGCTTGAACCCGGGGATTACATTGGAAAGTGTAGTGTGATCGTCCGGGTGAGTGTAGTCCTGAGAAGGACTGTTGTCGGTGGTAGTGACTGACGTTTCGACAACCTGTGCGGAAGTCATCATCAGAGTCAAGTGAATAGTTGTTGTCAGTAAAATGTTCTTATTTCAGTTCATGTAAAACGATTGATCAGTTTTGCCGTGATGTTATTGCTTGTAAGACTCAAGTGACGTAAGTCGGTCGTGATTGGTCTGTTTGGATCCGTCCGTAAAGTTAGGTCGTTCTGTTCGGTTCGTTTGTAATGTTAATGTCGTGAATGAGTCGTTTGTATGGAGCCGGTAGTAGTTGACACCTGTTTAGGGGAGTCTGTTCTAGGTTAGTAAACCAGCTTTCCAGAGTCAGTCGTTGAAAGTAGTCAGTGCTGTAGGTTAGGCACTGCGCAGAGTCCAAGTCAATATTGTGGTTCGACGGGGAAAGGTAATGTCAACAATCACATTGCTGAACATCATCGACTTACGACCATTCACTTGACTCTGATGATCACTTCCACACAGGTTGTCGAGGCGTCAGTCACTACCACCGACAACAGTCCTTCTCTGGACTACACTCACCTGGACGATCACACTACAATTTCTCAAGATTACCTTCATTGAATTTGCCCGTAAAGTCAAGTGAAAAAGGTTGACTAAATCGTTAAAGAAGTCTGTTTAGGGACTCTGTGGGAAAAGTCTCCTTTTATATCTACTGATAAAATAATTGTATAACAATTCTTGTTCTCACACTTTTTATGACGTCGCAACCTGGTTCCCGGTAACAGGCCCTTGCAAGCTTTCTTGAATAGAATGAATTAAAGCCAGATTCAGAGAAAAAAAATCCTCTTAAAAATGTTTAAGCCAAATTTACCATTGCGTTGGTTCTCATTTCTTTCTCTCATCCACTTAGGTGAAACTGGTATGGAGCAGCAAGTTAAAAAGGATGAAAAAACGAGCTTGTCGCTTCATTAGAATCAGAATCCATTCACAAACCAACACTTGTGGAGAAAACAATTCAGACAAAAACAAACCTTCTGAAGTAGAACTTGCCAGAAGGAAAAGCAAGATCGCTCCTGTTGAAGGATAGGATGAACAATCACGAGCGATCACGTTCACACAAACGTGTCATCACGTCCGAGGTGAAGCCTCCAGAGGGAGCAACAAAATTACTTCAGTCAATCGACATGAGGAAGTATCACGAGCTATCACGTTCACGCAAGCAGTATATCACGTCCGAGGAGTTACCTAAAGGAAGGAAGAATAACTATATTTATTACACGACTGGGGGAGTGAGAGGGCCAATAACAAAAATCAAACAATCAAAATGCTCTATAGCCGGTCAATATTCTCTCAGTATTGGACCGGGTACTGTCCCGAATGGTCCCGAATGATACCGCACTTGTGTCCCTTTGAACTTCAGTCGTATAATAAATCTCTTATTAACCAAGCTTGTTCGGGACCGTACTGGAAGAATATCGGCCTCGGTCTTTTTTGTACGGACCTCGCTGCGCTCGGTCCGCACTGTCAAACCCTCGGGCCGATATTCTCCCAGTACGGCCCTCGCGCTCGGTGAATAAGATATATTGCTTCTGCCATTGAACTGAAGAGATTGTCACGAGCGATCAGTTTCACGCAAACGAATTATCACATACACACATACACACAAGCAGCATCACGTTCACGTTACTCGATATCCTACGATCGACAGTATACCGAAGAAACTTCACGTTTCAAAAAGACAAATGGTTAGCAGTAAGTCCAAGTTGAAATGTCAAATCAGCCGAAGAAAGACTGACCAATGCAACCAAACTGGGCACGGAATATTGCATATTGCAGTGGATTGCCAATCCGAGCAAAACCGACCTTGTTTAAGACTCCTCAAGCTTTAACGCTGCTTGGAATTTGAAATGTTGGTTTAAGTGGAGCGAGGAAAACTGGAGGATCCGAAGAAAAACCCTCGGAGCAAGGACGAGAACCAACAACAAAACTCAGCCCACATGTGACAACGGATGCGGGAGTCGAGCCCGGGCCCCAGTGATGAGAGGCGAGCTCTCTCACCACTGTGCCATCCCTCCTCAGTCTCCATTGCTCGGTTGAATCTCTTGTACCATATCCGAAACAAAGAGACTCAATGACATAATGTGGACAATTTCCAAAACAGTATAATAAGTAAGAGAGGTTTTTCTGATAATCTTTGTAAACTTTATCTTCGAGTCTCTGACGTTTGTTTCGTGAAGAGTACTTAAATTTTATTCTTTGTTCCACGCTCGTGACCAGACGGAAAACACTTTTCTTCAATAGAAAAGTAACATCTTTTTGTCTCAAAAAGTAAGTTTCTTTGTCACTTAAAGTAGAAATGACTGAATTGTCAGGCGAGCGATGAAACTTTTTCATCATTGTTTCAATTGTAGTTGCTGCTTGGGCAAGAGAAACTGAACCCCCGTAAATTAACAGAATCGGATTCAAAATCATGCCAACAATACCTTTGATTTTAAAACGCGCGTGCTGAAGATGAAATTCTTTGTTTACCCGAGATAAACCTTATCAAGATATTTGAAACCAAATCAAATATTTCATGACAGGAACAGGTTTATCTTTAATTGGAAGTCATGAAGTTATAGACAAAGCCGACTGATTGCAATAATTATCCGTCTGATTAATTCCCAGGTCACGTACGTTGATAAAGTATTTATACTGTAAGCTAAAGCAAAACGTATCATCTTGAAAAGGAATTTATTGTTTTACAATAGATATGTAGTATGTTGTAAATCAAACGTGACAATTATCTAGATTGGTGATTTAACTTTTCTCATTTTGGTGAAGAGGTGATCAGAACTACCCGATTTTGGAGTTTTTTTAGTCAGTCGAAGGTAGGAGTTTGCGCATTTTATGAACGGAGTCTTAGATTTATCAAACTAGGCAATTTTCTTTGTTTTGTTTTGTTTTTTTTGTTTTGTCTTTTCTTTTTTATAGATTTTTATAGAGAGACTTGCGACTTCCTGAGTGAAAAAAGAGTAGGGAGTTAGTTCCAACTAATCCTCATTACTTTGAATATTTATCGATGAATTTCCAAATGATAAGATGAACTCTCAATGTCTTCTGTAAGATTTGACAAAGAAATGTACGTAAGTTCCACTTACTGTACTTATCTCGACACCCGACAAGGTGTTTGTTCATTAAAATGGCGAGCTGATCATCAACACCTAGGGTGGGCTCAGGATGACTTTTATCGTTTCCTACCATGGAAACCAAAGTCAAGCAATAACTTGTTAGAAGACAGACTCATTTATTGTTCTTTCTCATCTATTCTTCTTATGATTCAAGAAAAATCCAGCTATCTTCATGTCATGCTTCCTTTTTAGAGTGAAATATGAAGGATTTAAGGATTCATCTTTAGAAAAAAGTCACGTTTAAAACTCTTTACAGGTGATGATCGCTCTATCAATAAGTTTCTTTGTTGCTGATGCTCACTCCAATCAACGTTCAAAGAAGACATTTCTCGCTATCTTGCTGTTTGACGCAATTGATATCTGTGAATATTCTTAGCAATTACCTTTTTTCCCTCGATGCATTTTTTTCTGTGTTCCATCAAACTTTGGAAATATATTTCACGACCTTTATCAAACAAACGAATTCACGGCGTTTATCAAGCAAACGAAAGGATATTATTACCGATGAATAAATTTTCGCTACCATCGTAACTTTTAATTAAAATTGCTTTCGTTCGACAAAATTCAATCAAGTCTATTCTTGGCTGAAATAAAATTTTGTGTAACTGTTAACAACAAAAAAAAAAAAGAAATTCATTATTCGTGTCGTGTCGTCTCTCCAATGAATCTTACATGTAGTATTTTTCTGACAGTAACAGTTGCAATTCAAAAGTAATGCTAAACTAGTTATACTTTTTATGGAAACCGAATATTGACATCCGGTTCTGATAAATGTCCAAATGGAAGCAAAAGTAAACTTCCTTCCCGAGAGTTGTCTCATTTCTATTTTGAAGTTAAGTACTTTTCACATCAAAATGTTCTCCTGGATGAGTTGAAAAAACAGTCTACAACTGTAATCTATGGTCAGAGAAAAGCTTTAGAGGTAATTAACCAGAACCCTGGTGAGGAAGCACTTCAATTTTATTGTGTGTGTGTGTGTGTGTGTGTGTGTGTGTGCAAAGAGCACAGCTTCGTGGTTCATTCGATATTCACGTCGTAAGCTTTTTAATTAAAATTATTAAATTATAAGGCTTAAATTGAGCTTTTAGCGTTAAGAAAATGCGTCAATTCTCATGCAAATTACAAAAAAAGGTGTTTTTTCTCTGACATGAGCAAACTTTGCAGTATGGAACATTCGGTTTATTCAACAAAGAATTATTTGATTTTAGAGAAACGAGACACGGTGTTCCAAATTACATGGCTGAACATCTGTCCTTAGAAAGATTAGAATGCTTCTATCGTCCTTTCTTCTCAAGAAGCTGTAGACCTACGTTTCGCTAGAAGTGCTTTTTTCACCTACAAAACAGAGAAATAGAAAGAGACACTACAAGTACTTATGAGGACAAGTTTCATGCTTTTTCTTTATCGATGACAGATCCGCCTGACGTTCGCTGTCAAGGAAGCTAGGCATATGGGCAGGTAGAAAACAAAAACTCGAACAAACTCAGTCATCTCCACATTCGTGTCGCTTTCGCTAAAACGAACTGCACTGGACCGAATTTTAAGAGGTGAGGCATTTTGGGAGAGAGGAGTGAAACTTAAGAGGCTTCTCTGTCTTGTTAACTAATCGAACATTTATTCGCTGTTAACTTATTATAGTTTTTTATCACATTTTGGAGAATACGAGCGTTGGCGAGTACAGCCATGACAGATCGTTCAATGTTGTTAGTTTGCGTGGAATCGTTCATGTTTCTTATCATCAACATCGCAGCAATTATTGGAAATGCGTTTGTCATTGCTGCCATTTTAAGAAACAGGGGTCTTCGGAAAATTACTCACTGCTACATTTTGAGCTTGGCAATTTCTGATTTGTTCGTTACGATCACGTGCATACCTTTAACTTTGGGCGCTTCCATGAAAGGTCTCTGGCTTTACGGTGACGTCACATGCCAGCTTCAAGGCCACGTGATACAAGTGTGGGCGAGTTTTTCTTTGACAATCGTGTCAGTGACTGCCATCAATCGATATTTTCGCGTTGTGAGACCCATCCGCTACAGAAAGATCTTCACCAAGCGATTTACACTCGTAACCACGATCTCCTCTCTCGTTATTTGTGCTTGTTTAGAAATCGGAATGATGTATGTAATGGACGCCCGTTTTAAATTTGGTCCACATCTTTTCTGCACGCCTAATTTCACAAACAAGCTCATGAAAAGAGCTGTTGCTTTGCCAATCTTTATTTCGTTCATCGCAGTCGCCCTGTTCGTTGTTCTGCTTTGTTACTTCAAGGTTTACCGCGTCGTTCGTAGACATGTGATCCTGGTTCGTCCAAATCTTGTAGATGCGTCGTTTCAACCTGGAAATGAAAATAAACTTTCGTGTCGCGTTGATGAGATCAATGCTACAAAAATGGTGTTCGTTATCATCATGGTCAACTTCCTTCTCTGGATTCCAGTTTGTATAATCGGTGCGCTACATGTCTGCGACATTGTTATGCCAAAATGGACACATTTGATGTACGATTTCTTGATTTTTATAACAACTGCGACAAATCCACTGATCTATGGAATGATGAACAAGGCTTTTAGGGACGAGTACCTTCGAATTTTGAACTGCAAGAAGAGCGCGAACAACATCAGCTAGCTTGGAAATTTTGGAGCTATGAAACACATTTTGAGTTATACAGTAAGTAATAAATAGGTTACTCAACCTAAAAATGAAGTGAGCGGGTAATAAAACCTAATGTCTGAATAAACAGAAACTTGTGCCGTGGTGTTTGGCCACATTTCCTTTTTACCTACGTCCTTGCAGGAAAAAAGGACAAATTAAAGAAACTCAATGGGCGCCTAAAATAGGGCACGTACAATCAATAAACTTCGTCTCAGTTGCTTTTATTATGTTTGGTCAGATTTTGTCTCTGCCGTTGTTTATTTCCTTTCAAATGCATCCAAAAAAAATTCGCGGCCACTCGATCTTTTTGGTGGTTAGGTGAAGTAGGGGAGCCAAACCGCGTTAAGTCTACACATTCCCCATATGATTCCTTTTCGTCATCAGCGCTCAGAATATTTTTAACACTGTAACTTTGATTCGATCAAATCTAAAAAAAAGTGCTATCGACTGTGTGCTGTTTTAGTGTACTTGATTAACCATGCATGTATAAAATCTTTACTAGATCAAGTTTGATTCGGGTAAAGCCACAGGAACCCATGAGTTCATGTAGGAAGGCGGGTGGGCTGGTTTAACAAAACAACTCATCAATTAAAAAACCCTCTGAAATTTCATTAGAAATCGAGTTCAATTTAATTCGGGAGAAGCAACAGAACCCATGAATTCATGTAGGAAGGATGGCCGGTTTGACAAAACAATTAATAGAGGGCGGCCACTAGTTTCTCAGTTGAAGCACTGTCCCGTGTTACCCTCGTTAAATAAAGTTGATTGATTGATTGATTGATTGATTGAAAAGGCTCTCTGAAAGTTCATTACAAATTCAAGTTCAATCAAGTTCGGAAAGAGCCACAGGAATCCATGAGTTCATATGAAAAGGAATGCAATTTTTTTCTTCGAGTGCATTCAGTTCTTTCTGGAGGCTGAACCCATCAATTCACTATGACCAAATAGAGTTTCAATAGGTATTATAAAAGGTTCAGAAAAACAACTCATTGATTATAGAAGAACCCTCTGAAACTAAAGAGCATAACTAATGCGCTATTTCAAATCACCTACAAGTTTAAAGCTTATTAGTTAGGTTAAAAGAGATTAAAATTAGAAAAGTGAAAAAAAGCTCTTAAAAAAGCTTCTAGATATTATTTAAGTCTCGTTTTGACAGTATTCCCATTTAATTTTTTTTCTTTTCCTCCGAACTTTAGCTCGCAGAAAGACCTCACACCGAAAAAAAAAAAATAATAATAATAATAACATCGGTACCTGAGGTGTCAGTTCCATTAGTGAGAAAATTTAATTGTCGTAAGTATTGGTGAAATAAGCCGTTTCCAGGTGTCAGTTTTGTTTTTCAAGGACTTTCGATTTAGTGTGGTTTATAATTTCAAACAACTTGGCCATGGATAAATTGTAGCAACAACATATACCCTTAATCTAATAATTAATCCTTCAGCTCACAACAAATTAAAATTAACAGTTAAATCTTGTAACCTTTATGTATTTACTTGCAAATTTGTTCAAAGAAAATTTCGTGTCACACAAATATAACACCCTTTCAGCGATAAATTGACATTTTCCATCACAGGTTTGGAAAATGAGTCAGTGCTGATGTTGCAGGAAGAAAGTTCTTTTTTCTATAATCATTAGTGGGAACTTTCTGGGCTACAGTAAAGAAATTATGATTACTGAGAAGAACAGAATAAAAAAAATTCTGCAGCTAAACATCTGGTCGTGTTCAAACAAACTGTCAATTCCTCAATACATTTAAGAAGGTGGGCTGTTTTTTTTTTTTTTTAAGACTATTTTTCACAAAGCTTTACTCCTGTTCTTCTTCAACTAAATGATGTTTTTCCCTTTCATTCGTAACGCTGCTTCCAATACCGGTGATAGAAAAAACGATCCTCACCCCATCTACTAAGAAAAGGTGTCAGTCTTCGCGGCGGATTACTTTCGTTACTCAACGATGACTTTTTTCGTGGAACGATCGGGGACGTTTCGGAAAACGAAGCGCTTATCGTTGGTGACAAACTTATGCTATCACTCAATGGCGATGGTGGTGGAGCTTTAACAGTCAGTCTTATTTTGGGCATCAAAATAGGAAAGTTGGTAAATCCCTGGGATCGCTCTAGATTCTTCTGGTTCGAGTTTACCTCGATATAAAGGCAAGGAAGAGGTTTTTTTGCTGTTTGCAAGTCGTACCCTTTTTACCCTGTTTCCGTTTCATAACCGTTCGGGATTCATGGAACATCGACGGGAATCTTGACTTTTGGAAGTCGTTCTTTGCCCTTATGTCGTGGGTTAAGACAGAAGGCTCACTATCTTCGGATTTCTTTAAACCAGAATCGCTCGAAGACTCGTCATATTTGCTCTTGACATAGCTAGCTTGCTTTGGAGACCTTTCTGGTTTCCCTCTTCTTTGCCCTTGATCTTTAACAAACGAGCGGGACTTCCTTAATTTCTGACCAGTTGAACCCTGTGTATCCTCTTCGGAAGGATACGAAACCAGTCGCTAGACATTTTAATTTACCCAATCATTCTAAGCAACATATGGCAATCTGCGGTCTTTCCTTACCTTTCTCTTCAATGATGTATCGTAAATCTCTTGTTCAATCGAGATCTGTTGCTTCGTCGAATGCTTATTTACCTAAATACTTCCAGTCGACGAGGAAACATTCTTGCGTCTTCCATAAGTGTTTAAGCAGACGACTTGCATTTTGTACTAACTGGATTTGGATTTTCAAAAAAGCAGTAAAACATAAACAATTAAAAACGAAGCTCAAATATATTGCTTCACCCAGAAACTTATACAACAACAATAATGTAAAATTTGTATTTTTCCTAGCAACAAGTTGCGGGAGGCAGCCGTCTGCAACGTACAAAAGCAACCATGAAAACGAAACAAGTCATTAACACTTTCAATCTAATGCAACATAATCAGATAACAGGGACTGGTTTTAACTCTAAGCCGATCCCAAATCAGTATAGCATTCTTTTTAGACTATAGCCACCTTTTTCATATTTTTACTTTCATTGTTCTTCTTATCACCATGCTTTTTGTTTATATCACTTACCACCATGTTTTTGTATATATTTTACTTATTCACATCTCATGTTTTATCCGTGGAAGGCTGTAGATCGACAGCCGAAAGCTTATGTTTTCTAAAACTTTTGGCCAGAGAACGTTTTCACTGTATTTTAATCTGACTCCCCGTGGTAGGCAACCGTAACCATTTTCAATTGCTACGACTTCAATGGGAGAGACTTTCGAAAGAGAGGGGCACTACTGCGTTCCTGATAACATTATTGTTACAAGTTAGGCTAATTGTTCATAAATCTTTTTAGTTCCGTAAATTGGCCTAAGTTCACTAACAAAGAATAAGAGAAATGTGGGGCATCATCACGTTATTCAAAGACCTTGAAGCTACCTTTCAATGTCTCCAATAAATCCTTCTACAGTTTCAAAACCACACGGTTTTAACTACCAACAGCTAAAATAACTCAGTAGGTCAATGTTATAGGGGGTTTTATAAAACGCACAATTTACAACTGCTCTCGTACAATGATCGTTAATTGCTACCCACAAATGTTTTCAAATAAGGAAAACGTTATCTTCGGCTACCATGATTTGATTTGCATCTTGCATGACCTGTAACGCACTCTCGATTTCCTCGTCACGGAATGCCTTGTCACGTTTCACAGATTCCTTGACGGTGGTCAGAGCTAGAGTCTGAGCATGCGCCGAAGAGAAGGCCTTCAACAAAGCAGCTTTGAATTCACCGAGTCTGAAATTGAAAAGATGTGATGAAAAAATTGATGACGAGTAAACTGCAGTGGAAGG